ACCCCCCATGCATCATCACAAAATCTCCAGAACTGTAAAACCTACAAACTTGAAATTGGGCCCATAGGTTCCTCTTGGCTTCTAGGGACTAAGAAAGGATTTTTTTGAAATGACCATCAGAGCATTTAGAGTATTTCCTATATTATTATTAACACACTCTGATGCTAAAGAGTTCTTACTCCCACTCCCCACCTGGAAAGAAATCTGTTCCAACTGCAGTTCAGCTAAGCCACGCCCAGGCTCCTTGCTGTCTCCTTCTTGCTCACACAGCAAATCCAGTTTCCAAATAGTCCTCAACTCTCACTCCCCACCTGAAAAGAAACCTCTTCCAACTGCAGTTGAGCTAAGCCACGCCCAGGCTCCTTGCTGCCTTTTTGCTCACAGCCAATACTGCTACACTTTCCAAATAGCCCTCAGCTCTCTCATCCCCCACCTGAAAAGAAACCTGTTCCAACTGCAGTTGAGCTAAGCCACGCCCAGGCTCTTTGCTGCCTCCTTCTTGCTCACAGAGCAAATAACTGTTTCAGTTTCTAAACAGCCCTCATCTCTCTTACACATTGGCAGGATGCTGGCCTAATGAATACTGATTGATGCTGGTAGGCAGAGGCATAATTCCCGCCCCCCACCTTATTTTCTTACCCCAAAACTTGCCCAATAACATGGTTTCGTAGCGAAGCATGGGTACCCTGCTAGTGTATATGCGTGTGTGTGTGTGTGTGTGCACGCGCACATTATCATGCATACAAGATAAAATAAAACAAGATGCATCACTCTTTCTTTCCCTAAACATCTGGCACAATTAAGTACACCGGCAAGGGAGGAAATCCCCTCCTCCAGGCATCCATCAGGCAAGCCCACTTCCAACCCAGAAGACACAAACCCTGATTAGAAGCTGCCACTCATTCCCGTAAAAAAAAAACAGACCAGCTACTCCTCGTCTCACCATCAACTGAGCCCAATGTTTCTGTTGCTAAGCAAGGCAGCGGTTAAATGAGATTTTTGCCCCCCTTTGCCCCACATTTTACGACCTTTGTTGCCACAGCGCTTAAGTGCCTCACACGGCCGTTGTTAAGTGAATCGTGTGGTGATTAAGTGAATCAGGCTCTTTTCCCCTCCTCCCACCTTGTTTTTGCACGTCGCAAGAGGGCTGGGAAGAAGTTACAAATAGTGATTCCACGAGACCCGGGCAAGCGCCTGGATTTTGGTCACGTGACCGATAGTTGTAGGTGTGAAAACTGGTCACACGTTACTTTTTTTTCAGTTCTGTTGCAACTTCCGTCATGAAACAAGTGGTTGTTGAGAATTTCCTGTACACAATAGGGAGATGGACCTCAACTCAATGGGGTTCCTAGCTTCTCCTACTACGTCCAACCTTAACGTAGTGATGCGGAACTGCCAGACAGGTGGCATATAAATTTAACAAATCAATGCACCCATCTATCAACGCTTGAGAGAGTAGAAGCGGCACCTGGCCGGGAAATCATTGCAAGGCAGGGAAATATGATCCATAATCCACATCCATAAGCCTCGGTGGCGCAGCGGTTAGAGTGTAGAATTGCAGGCTCCTTCTGCTGACTGATTGCAATTTGGCAGTTTGAATCCCACCAGGCTCCAGGTGGACTCAGCCTTCCATCCTTCCAAGGTGGGTCAAATGAGGACCCGGATTGTTGGGGGCAAGAGGCTGACTCTGTAAACTGCTTAGAGAGGGCTGTAAAAGCACTGTGAAGTGGGATATAAGTCTAAGGGCTACTGCTGTTCCTTTCTTATCTTCTTTATTTTCCTTCCTTCCTTCCTTCCTTCCTTCCTCCTCCTTTCCTTTCCTTTCGTTCCCTTCCCTTTCCTTTCCTTCCTTGAGCCATTGTGGCACAGTGGTTAAAATGCAATATTGCAGGCTAATTCTGTTCAGCAGTTCGAATCTCACCAGACTCAAGGTTGACTCAGCTTTCTGTCCTTCCGAGGTGAGTAAAATGAGGACCCAGATTGTTGGGGGCCAGAGGCTGACTCTGTAAACCACTTAAAGAGGGTTGTAAAAGCACTGTGAAGCGGGATATAAGTCTAAGTGCTATTGCTATTCCTTCCTTATCTTCTTTATCTTCCTTCCTCCTCCCCTTTCATGTTTCCTTCCATCCATATTTTTCTTTTCTTCCTCCCTCCCTCTTTTCCTCCCTCCCAGTGATTAGAATGCAGTATTGCAGGCTAACTCTGCCCCCTGCCAACAGTTCGATCCTGACCGACTGGCTCAAGATGGACTCAGCCTTCCATCCATCCGAGGTGGGTCAAATGAGGACCCAGATTGTTGGGGGCAAAGAGGCTGACTCTGTAAACCGCTTAGAGAGGGCTGGAAAAGCACTGTGAAGCGGTATATAAGTCTAAGTGCTACTGCTACATGGAAAGAAAAGGACAGAAAAACGTCTATGCTCATAAGACCGCGATACCTCTCAAAGGGAGGGAAATCCCCAATGTGGAGAGATGAAGGACTTTATGAAGAAATATGCCTTTTACAGATAGTCCTCAACTTACGACCACAATAGAACCCAACATTTCTGTTGCTAAGCGAGATGGTTGTTAAGTGAGTTTTGACCCATTTTACAACCTTTCCTGCCACAGTTCTTAAGGGATTCAGTGCAGCTGTTGAGTTGGTCTCACGGTCGGTCAATGAATCTGGCTTTCTGTTGAGTTTGCTTGTCAGAAGTTTGCAAAAGGGGACCGCGTGACCCGGGGACGATGCAACCGTCATAACTGTGAGTCAGTTGGCAAGCATCTGAATTTGGTCATGTGACCCTGGGGATGCTGCACGAGTCATAAGTGTGGAAAACAGTTCACTTTTTTTTTCCAGTGCTGTTGTGGCTTTGAATGGTCCCTAAATGAACTGTTGTAGGTCAAGGACTATCTGTATAAAGCGGTACTAATGTTCTCTTGCAGCCATCGCATTACCTAATTAGGTAACATCATCAATGCTTCTGGTGGCGTACATTGGCGACAGTTTCCCTATCATAGCAAGACAAGAAGCAGCGCATGGAAACTAGCCAAGGAGAGAAGGAATTTGGAATCAAGGGGAAATTTTCTCACAGGTAGGGCAATTAACCAGTGGAACAGCTGGCCTCCAGAAGTTCTGGGTGCTCCATTACTGGACAGCCCCTTGTCTGAAATGGTATATAGGGTCTCCTGCTTGAGCAGGGGGCTGGACTAGAAGACCTCCAAGGTCCCTTCCAGGTCTATTCTGATTAATTGATTAATCAAGGAGAGAAGCAACAGAGAACTAAGGAGAAACTTTCTGACAGTTAGAAGAATCAACCAGTGGAACAGAAGTTGCCTTCAGAACTTGTGGGTACTTCATCACTGGAAGTCTTTAAAAAGAGACTGGACCGCTATTTCTCTGGAATGGAATAGGTTCTCCTGCCTGAGCAGAGGGCTGGACTAGAAGACCTCCAAGGCCCCTTCCATCTTTGTTGTACTGTATTCTACTCAAAATAAGGAGGAATTTCCTGATAGTGAGAAAAAGTAGCCAGTGGAACAGCTTGCCACTAGAGGTTGCGGGTGCTTCATCACTGGAGGTTGATGAAGTCACTTATCTGAAATGGTCTAGGTTCTCCTGCCTGAGCAAGGGGCTGGACTAGAAGACCTCCAAGGTCCCTTTCCAAACTCCTGTGATCCTGACGGCTTGCAACGACCGCCCTGGCACGCAAAGCAGCTCCGCGCGGCTCCCGGTTCCTCCAGTCCGGGCCTCAACCCAAACCGGCTTCGCTTCTCCATCTCCGTCCTCTCCTTTTCGAGGCCGAGGCGGGGAGGGCAGAGAGAGAACCCTGGCCGTTTCAGCCCCAGTGGACGGCGTGGGGAGGGAGGGGGGAGAGAGAGGCAAGCGGGCTCCCGGCGGATGCCAAGGGCGAGGCTGGGTGGAGGAAGGGAGGGAAGGAGGCGGAGAGAAGGACACCGAGGCCCCCTTTTCCTCTATCTAAAGCCCACGAAGTGCGACTCCCATCCGCGGAGAAAGAGACGATTCAGCACCACGGCGCTGGACAGCTCCCCGAGAGAAGGAGGGGGGAGAGCGAGAGAGGCTTTGGGGGACCCGCTCAGGGAGGGAAAAGGGTGACGTCATCGCGCGCTTCTCCCCCCCCCCCCCCCCCCCGGGGCCCGCCCCGAGGGGGGGGGGGGGGAGGGGGGGGGTGCTGCGAGGGGTCCGGGGACGGTTCCTTCCCCCCCCCCCCCGCAATACACACAAACACACACACACACACTCACCAACGGCTGCATCTCTGCGCGCACGGCGGGCACCTGGAAGCGGTCGATCTCCTCCATCATCGTGCCGGCGGGCGGTCAAAAGGAGGAGGAGGAGGAAGAGGAGGAGGAGGAAGGAGGGAAGACCTCGGCCGCCTCACTGAGGCCGGGGGTGGCCCTCCGCCGGTGCCGGTGCCGGAGCCCGCCTCATCCCTGCCGCCAGAGGAGCCCGAGCCGCCGGCCGTCGTGACTCAGCCCCCCCTTTGCCCTGCCCCGGATAAGCGCGCGCCACTGCGCAGGCGCCGACGCAGCCCGGAAGGAGGGAGGAGGGAGGGAAAGGCGGAGGAGGGAAAAGGGAGGGCAGCGCGCCTGCGCGAAGCCCGGCCCGTCGGAGGGGCGCTCGGGCCCGCCTCATTTGCATAGTCATGAGGGGGCGGGGGAGGAATCCTCACGGGCGGAGTCCTGTCAGGTTCAATTTATGTATATAAAATGTGTATGTATATATATATATTTATATATATGTTTATATATATAAATCCTTCCTCGGCCCGCTCGAGAGGGGTTTGCCGCTGGGGAAGGGAAACAAAAAATAAAAGGGTGGGGGAGGGAAGAAAGCGAGGGAAAGATGGCGGCGCTGTGGCTCAGTTAGACGGCCCTTCTCGCCTTCGGCGGCCGCCTCTGTGGTGGCTTCCGGTTGGTTGCCAGGGATGCCGGAGTCAACTTCCGGCAGCTGACGAGCCAGATTGAAAGCAGAGGACGGCCGTGGCTGAGGCGGCGGCGGCGGCGGCGGCGGAGCTGCTGTTCTCGACATGCCCGCGAAGGATCTCTACCGGCGCAAGCAGGTACGGATGGGCGGGGGTGGGGGGGGAGGGTGAGCGGGGGCGTGATGTCACCGTGACGCCATCGCGCCACCCGGTGACGTTACCCGGTGGGCGCACCAAAGATTGCCAGAATGGTCCC